TCTTCCCTCAGAAACCTAGGAGCATGCTTTTCTTCCAGGCAAATTTCCTGGTGGATATTAGAATCCTGTCTCTGAAATCTAGTCTACCAGCTAAGGCCTTGTTTTGCTATGGACACCTTTACCTCCTGTCCCTGACCCACATGTTCATGGAGACCCTGGTAATATGTCATGGATCTCCACTCTCACCCCAGTCCTCTGAAACACATGCCAAGGAGTTCCTACATGAAATAAATGTGGTCAGATTCGATCATGATTACACTCAACAAATTTCCTCTGGGTAAATGCCCAAGGGCCAAAGCCTTGGAACCTGAGTCAGCTTCCTAGGAGGCAGAGTGGCTCCCTCTTCTGTCAGGGCTGGCTCTGCCTTGCCCATTCTCACTGGGAACCAACAGCCTCACTCTCCAAATGAAACAGCCTTTAACTGAACAACTCAGCAAAAGGGGGAAACTTGTTTTTTGTCTAAATGAAAGAAAATTGAGGAGCATTTAGGGGCCGTTTATATCTGAATATAAGTTAAATTCTGTGGATAAGCTTTGTTTGCAGCTATAGAAGTAATGATTGTTAAATCTGGTCAAGATAAAGCACTTGCTTTAGCTCTTTTTATTTGACGTGACACTAATAAGATACAAATTTGAAAACGTAAAAAATCTGGAAATACTAAAATATTGATTATATAAGCTTTAAATTTTACTCATATATGGATCCTTTTTCAAGCAAAAAAATTTTAATTCTAATAATCTGAGTTTTTGTTTACACAATTGTCAAAATCAGATTTATCAGCTATGATAAATTATAATTCCCATAACAACTTCATAAAATAGGCTAGGTTTATAAACACAATCTGTAAGGTGCTTTGTCTTATACTCCATTCATGTTAATTTTAATTGGTGTTTATTATTATTTAATAATGTTATTCTTTGTTATTACTGACACCTTTGAGTTTAAGTACTCTGTAGTCGAGACAGGATATACTTATTGATACTATAAATAATAGATAAAGGATTAGTGTGCAATTTGCTGTTAATGTAACTGATGAATTCTCCACTGCACTACCTCTCTGTTCTTATTTTAGCTCTGATGCCAATGGTCTTGATCGTGGTACAATGCCTATAATACCAGCATAAAAATGAATGTGGTTCTTCACATTTCTTAAATTTGTTCTTTTTGTCTTGTCATTTCATAAAAATAGTGTTACAAATGGAATGGTACAAAATGGAGCCTCAAATCAGGATGTGTTTTGCTGTTTTATTACCTTGATATATAAAATTTATTTTTCAGAGGCAGAATCTTGGGGTTATTTAATGGAAGGTGTGAAGTTAGAGAAACAAGAATTGAAGTAGCTTTTTATGGCTGGGTTTACTAAGGTGAGGCTGAATGACAGAGTGGACCTTGTCCCTCCTCCTGTGCAATTCACAGAGCTTATAAGAAGTGACTGGAAGGCTGAGGCTGAGATTTCAGTTAGACCTCTGAAAGGGTGAAAAGACATTCTGCGCAGTAAGCAGCAATCCATGCATCACCCTTAGTCATGTTAATATTAAGAGAAATCCAGCATATGCTTGAGAACAGCATTGCTCTATTTCTGTCAAGAACAAGACACAAAGAATAGGTCTTAACTGCAGATATTTTATGTGTCTGTATAAGAATTTTTATTTGCAATGAGAACGGGATTAAAATTAGAAAGAAATATATTGCTAATTACAGGTTACAAAGTATTAAGCACACTCACTATTATCCAGTAAAAAACATCAGGCTCCTTGGAGAAATGGCTGATTCTAGGAATGGGGCAGGAAATATACAAGACATGTCTGGAGTATCAGTGTCATAAAATAAGGGAGTGCTCAAAACAAAACAAAAATGGGAGTATGTCAAAGGAACACCGGAGCCAACAGAAAGAGATCCCAATGACCACAGCTGAAGCAATTGGAGCAAGAAAGCAGATAGTGCAGTATTACATTTCATCCCTAAGTATAACACAAATATCCATGAGTTATTAAATAAATGATTGAATATTCTCTTCCAGTGGCTGATTTGTGCATCCTCTGAACACTTAAAAAATGATTGAATAAATAACTAAAACTTACAAAAGAATTCCAAATAACGTATAAGATATCCCCTCAAAGATGTGGAGAATAACTCCCCACCCCACAACCCCCATTAGTATGGGCTGCACATAATGACTTCCTTCTAAACAACAGAACACGATGAAAGGGGATAGAGCAACTCACAATGGAAAAGAACTCTGCTTCAGCCACATAATCGTGTTTGGCACCCGTGACAGGCCATGTTGATATCATGAACCTTTCATATAATATGAGGAAAATGGCATTCTACCTCTGTGTTTTTTCCTCTCCAAAATTTGTAACCACCATCTAATTATGAGGAAAACATCATACAAGTCCAAATTGAGAACTATTCTGCAAAATGCCTGACCAAACATTCATGAAAACTGGTAAGGTCGTCAAAAGCAAGGGAAGTCTGAGAAACTGACACAGCCTAAAGACAGTGCAGGGAGATGGTGGCATTCTTGGTGGGTTTCTGGAACAGAAAAAGGACAACAGGTAAAATCTAAGAACATACGAATAAATATAAACTTTAGTAATAATGATGTATCGATATTGATTCATTGGTTGTGACAAATGTACCATAGTAACAGAAAATGTTAACAATTAGGGAAACTGGGTGTGGTGTTCATGGAAACTCTCTGTACTATCTTTTCAACTTCCTTATGAAACTAAGACTATTCTAGAAGACAAATTTCATTTAAAAATAATTTTTAAAAAAATTTAGAATACTAGATCATGATATCAAAATAGGTGGAAATCCTCAGTCACAGGACTCTAATAATCCAAGATGTAAACTAAAAATTATACATAAAGCTGTCCAAAACAGGATTAATTAAATAACCAAAAAAGGAAAAGTAGGGAATAATTAGAATAAAATTATTATATAATTGTAGCCACTTTTTGATGTCAACTTTTTTTTATTCTAAGTTATGCTTTAATTAAAACAGTTGTAACTGGTAACATCCAAAGTAGAGAAATTGATTCCTCCTGGTGTGGGGTGCTCAACTCACATGGCTATTTCTCTATATCCACAATAACATTCTTTTTTAAATTATACTTTAAGTTCTGGGGTACGTGTACAAATCGTGCAGGATTGTTACATAGGTATACAAGTCATGGTAGTTTGCTGCATCCACCCCTCCCCCCGTCACCTATGTTAGGTATTTCTCCTAATGTTATTCCTCTCCAATCCCCCCTCCCCCTGCTTTCCCTCCCCTAACCTCCCCCACCCCCCCGACAGGCCCCAGTGTGTGATGTTCTTCTCCCTATGTCCATGTGTTCTTATTGTTCAACACCCACTTATGAGTGAGAACATGAGGTGTTGGATTTTCTGTTCTTCTGTCAGTTTGCTGAAATGATGGTTTCCAGCTTCATCCATGTCCCTGCAAAGGGCATGAACCCATCCTTTTTTATGGCTGCATAGAATTCCATGGTGTATATGTGCCACATTTTCTTTATCCAGAAAGTTGGGCATTTGGGTTGGTTCCAAGTCTTTGCTGTTGTAAACAGTGCCACAATGAACATATGTGTGCATGTGTCTTTATAATAGAATGATTTATAATCCTTTGGGTATATACCCAGTAATGGGATTGCTGGGTCAAATGATATTTCTATTTCTAGATCCTTGAGGAATCGCCACACTGTCTTCCACAATGGTTGAGCTAATTTACACTTACACCAACAGTGTAAAAGTGTTCCTATTTCTCCACATCCTCTCCAGCATCTGTCATCTCCAGATTTTTTAATGATTGCCATTCTAACTGCTGTGAGATGGTATCTCAGTGTGGTTTTGAGTTGCATTTCTCTAATGACCAGTGATGATGAGCATTTTTTCATATGATTGTTGGCTGCATAAATGTCCTCTTTTGAAAAATGTCTGTTCATATCCTTTGCCCACTTTTTGATGAGGTTGTTTGTTTTTTGTTTATTTTGCTGTGCAGAAGCTCTTAAGTTTAATTAGCTCCCATTTGTCTATTTAGGCTTTTGTTGCCATTGCTTTTGGTGTTTTAGTCATGAAGTCCTTGTCTATGCCTATGTCCTGAATGATATTGCCTAGGTTTTCTTCTAGGGTTTTTGTGGTGTTAGGTCTTATGTTTAAATCTTTAATCCATCTTGAGTTAATTTTTGTATAAGGAAGGGGTACAGTTTCAGCTTTTTGCACATGGCTAGCCAGTTTTCCCAACTTTTAAAAAGCATGGTTTAATATGTATGGTTTGGCTGTGTCCTTACCCAAATCTCATCTTGAATTGTAGTTTCCATAATCCTCATGTGTCATGGGAAGGACCGGGTGGAAGGTAATTAAATTATGGGGGTGGTTACCCCCATGCTGCTGTTCTTGTGATCGTGAGTTCTCATGAGATATGATGGTTTTATAAGGGGCTTGTCCCCCTTTGCTCTACACTTCTCCTTCCTGCCATCATGTGAAGAAGGACTTGCTTGCTTCCCTTTCCATCATGATTATGAGTTTCCTGAGGCCTTCCTAGCCATGTGGAACTGTGAGTCAATTTAACCTCTTCCTTTATAAATTACCCAGTCTCGGGCAGTTATTTATAGCAGTATGAGAAGGGACTAATACAGGTAGCATACAGGCAAATGCAAGGGAAACACTACTGAATGAAAAAGATGAAAAGATTGATAACCTCTGGCCTTCCTGTGGTCTGAGACAGACAGACCTCTTATTTTTACTGCTGTGGTCAGGTTCTCTGTTCTCTGCAGCCAGATGCACTCCTCATAGTCATAACAAAGAAATAAAGAAACAGACAATACTTGAAGAGTGCAACTTGGGGTAAATCTTTCTAGAGAAAATACAGAAATATGTGACAAAAATGTTTAAATTTTATACCTATTTCACCTATTGTGAATGTACGTAAAGATCTGAATATTAATTTAATCATTGTTAGGTTTTGGATTTTATTTGAGTCTTGCTCTGTCATTCAGGCTGGAGTGCAGTGATATGATCATGGCTCACTGAAGCTTTCACCTCCCAGGCTCAAATGATCCTCCTACCTCAGCCTAGTGGGTAGCTGGGACTGCAGGTATGTGCTACCATGCCTGACTAATTTGTTTATTTTTTTTGTAGATATGGGATTTACTTACATAAATTATGGGGTACATTTACATAAATTATGATACAACCATCCAATAGAATGCTTTACTGTCATTAAAACTCAGGTTGTATAACTTCACAGGAAAAGCTTCATAAGTGTAAAAAGAAGCTTTATCAAAGAAGTAGGAGTCATCTCATATTTTAATATAATGATAATTACAGATTTATGATTACTTACATTTTTTTCTACAATTTCAAATTTTACATCGTTTTTGTGTTGCTTTTGAACAAAAAAAGGATAAATATTATTTTTTAAAAATTTAAAATCATGGTCAGAACTCAGCTCTGATACAAATGTAAAGTCAGTAGCTATAAAGTTATTATTTAAATTGTTACACATAGACTTACTCCTAATTAAATGCATTCCACCATGGGAAGAATTAGTTCTGCCTGTGCTTTAGAGTCTAGAATACTGCAATTTTGTTTAAATATGAAACTGGTTCTTGCTCATCTTAATACAACTTTCTTAGGTGCTTCATAGATCTGAGAGCTGGTAGTGTTTTTAACAGAGTCCTTACAATCTGAAAATTTGAGTTCTAAATTTGGATTATTTACATTTTCAATTGTGTTTTCACTAAGTCCCTTCACTCTTCAGAAACTATAATTTCCTACACGTAAAATGATATCGCCTATGATTAAATCATGAGGCATCTAGGCAGATGATTTCAGTGATGTTGTGCCCCTGACAGAGAATGTGGCTCAGAGTGGGACATGTTTTTCTTTCCTTTGAACACATAATACCTCACTCATCTCCATGGCCTCCTACAAGGCAGATAAGCAACAGATCTGACCATTACAAAAAATCATCAGATGAAGCAGTGACATAAACATGCAGAGTAGGATGAGGGTGTGTTGATTTGCAGACCACGTGGGAGGAGCAGCTTTCAGAGCCAAAATGAATCCAGGATGAAGTTATCAGATAAAAGTGGACTTGCTCAACATCCTGGAAAGGAAACTCCTCCTGTGCTTGAGTTCAAGAATAACTTCCTAGGGCAGAATGAGAGACTTCAGCTTACATGACTCCCTTATGGAGGGGAAAATTACATGCCACCTGGAGAAAAACCCACTTGAGATTCCCTTGTTCCTCTTATAGAGGCCTTAAACTTTCCCACCCAAACAGGCATTCATATCAGCACAATGCAGGTGCCCAGGGGATCCTTTTTTTTTTCAGAAATGGGGTCTCTCTCTCTCTCTCTCTCTCTCTGTTGCCCAGCTTGGAGTGCTATGGAGCAATCATAGCTCATGGTAGCCTTAAACTCCTGGCCTCAAGGGATTCTTCTGCCTTGGCTCCCCAAAACTCTGAAATTATAGGCATAACCCACCATGCCCATCTCTGGGGGATTCTTTATCTTAGGCAAGTCTAAGTTAGCTCCAACCTGATTGGGATGAGGATAGAGTAGATTCCTTCTATCTCTTTTTTTTTAAATTAAAGTAGTTTAAGAAAAAATATGGAAATACAGAAATTGATACAATGTACTTCTAAAAATATGTCAAGAATCCACTTGCTCTCACATTATCTCTCTTTCTCTCTCTCTCTCTACCCACTTTCCTCCTTCCCTCTCTCTGTATCTGCCAAGCTGGGTGGGAAAATATGACAGTGTACAGTTTTTGAGGGTTTTAAAAATTACTATAATAATGGGAAAAATAGTAACTTTAAGGTGAAGAAGCTGGAAGACACCACCTTAACCAAGGAATCAGTTAAAATCACCAATAAGAGACAAATAAATGGCCTGTGTCTCATGACATGCTGCACTCAAAAGGACATGGCATAATTCTTGTGATATTTTTACTCAGAACAGTTAATGTATATTTAATTGTGGAATCTACCAGATAACCCTAAATTTGGTCAGACGTGGTGGTTCATGCCTATAATCCCAGCACTTTGGGAGGCCAAGGCTGGTGTATCACTTGAGATCAGAAGTTTGGGTCCAGCCTGGTTGACATGGTAAAACCCCGTCTCTACTAAAAATACAAAAATTAGACTGATGAAGTGGTGCATGCCTGTAATCCCAGCTACTCAGGAGGCTGAGGCAGGGGAACCGCTTGAACCTGGGAGGAGGTTTCAGTGAGCCAAGATTGCGTCACTGCACTCCAGCCTGGGTGACAGAGCGAAACTGTCTCAAATTAAAAAAAAAAAAAAAAAGATAACCCTAAATTTAGAAATATTTCAAAATATAACTGACCAGTGCTCTTCAAAAGTGACAGGAACAAAGAAGCACTGAGAATCAGTTCTAGAATAAAGGAGAGTAGGTATATATGGCAGCTAAAAGCGATCTGTGAACATGAATTGGACCCTGGACAATGAAAATGACATTAGATAGACAATCGGTAAAACTTTGAAGAATGTTTGATAGTTGTACTGAATCAGTGTTTAATCTCTTGATTTTGATAATTTACTTATATAAGATGCTAACTTTTGGAAAATTTTGGTGAAAATATACAAAGATTTTTTGTAGCTGTTTTATAAATCTGAAATGATTTTAAAATGAAGAGTTAAAAAATTAAAAATAAACATATGAAAATGGGTAGAGAAATAATTTCACATTTCACATAGAACTCAGAGTACTTTTAATAGCAATAATCCTGTCAAGCAGTAGTCCCATTTTATAAAATTAAGAAACTTAGACTAAGAAAGCTGAATCACATGCTTTAAGATCACAGAATTAGTGAATGGTGACTTCAGGTCTGTTATGGCTTGATAACAGATACGATATTTTGATAAATTGACCACTTCAATCTTATTAAATGCCCTCTTTATCCCTGGTGATATTTCTTATTTTGAATTCTTATATAATCTTAAAAGACACCGTTCAGCTTTATTATGATCAGTGTTTGCATGTTACATTTTTTATTATCCTTTTACTTTTATCCTTTTTTGATATTTAAGGTGAATTTCTTGTAGGTGGTATATAAGTAGTAGGTCATATTTTTTATTCAGTCTTACAATCTCTGCCTTTTAATTAGACTGTTTATACCAGTTGGGTTTAATGTAATTATTAATAGAGTTATGTTGAAATTTGTCATCTTACTATTTATGTTCTCTTTGACCTACTTGTTTTGAGTTCTTTTTCTCTCTTCCTGCCTTCTGTTATATAAATCAAGTCTTTTATATTAGTCTATTTCATTGGCATTATAACTTACTGTCTCCCCCTTTCTAAAACTGTTTGCTTTAAGGTTTAATATGCTTCACTAACTTTTCACAGTCTACCTTCAATTAATATTCTGCCTCTTTCCATATAAAGTAAGAACTGTACAACAGGATACATCTTTTTTCATCTCTTTTGTCTGAAATTTGAAATACTCAAAAGTTTAAAATATTTTGAGCACCAAATTGATGCTGCAAGTGGAAAATTCCATACCTGACATCTTTGACTTCTATAATTCAATGTATACAATCTTTGTTTCATGCACAAAAATATTAAATATATTGCATAAAATTACCTTCAGGCTATGTATATAAGGTGTATATAAAACATGGATTAATTTTGTCTTCAGACATGGGTCCCATTCCCAAGATACCTCATTATGTATATTTAAATATTTCAATATTCAAAAAAATCCAAAATCCAAAACACTTCTGGTCCCAGCATTTTGGCCAAGGGATACTCAACCTGTATTTTTTTAGTAGACTTCACTCCTACATGTATTACAAAACATATATTGATGCTATTTTTTCACTGACAATTATCTTTTAAGGAATCAAAAAATGAGAGAAAATTTTGTTTATTCAAATTTACTATTTCTATACTTTTCAATTTTAATATTGTGCAAAGATTTAAGTTTATTACATAATTTTCCTGAAGAACATTTAACATTTCTGTAGTACAGATTTGCTAGTGACAAATTGTTTTTCAGCTTTTGCTTGTCTAAAATACTTTATATTTATTCTTTATTATTAAAGGATATTTCTGCTGGATATGGCTAGGTCGTGAGTGGTTTTTTTTTTTTTTGGTTGTTGTTTTTGTTTTTATTTTTTGAGACAGAGTCTTGCTCTGTTGCCAGGCTGGAGTGCAGTGGAGGTGATCTCGGCTCATTACAACCTCTGCCTTACAGGTTCAAGCAATTCCCCTGCCCCAGCCTCCCGAGTAGCTGGGAATACAGGCTCGTATCACCATACCCGGCTAAATTTTTGTATTTTAGTAGAGACAGGGATTCACCATGTTGGCCAGGATGGTCTTGCTGTCTTGACCTCGTGATCCACCTGCCTCAACCTCCCAAAGTGTTGAGATTACAGGTGTGAGCCACCCTGCCCCTCTGCGAGTGCTTTTTATTTAGTACTTTATAGATGACTTTTGACTCACAGGATTTCTGGCACTAGATCTGTAGTTACTCTTTTACAATTCATCTGTAGGTAATGTCTTTTTCTCTCATTAAATTTTTTTTCTTACCATCACTGATTATCAGCATTTTAATTATCATGGGCTTTGGCATGTTTGTATTTTCATGTGTATATGTCTGTCTGTCTTGGGATTTGTTGAGTTTCTTGAATCCGTGCATTTACAGTTTTCATCAAATTTACAAAAGTTTTTCCACTATCCATGTATTTCCCCATAACTAAAATTACACATGGTAAGCTTTGGCTGTGTCCCCACCCAAATCTCATCTTGAATTGTAGTTTTCACAATCCCCGTGTGTTGCAGGAGGAAGCTGGTGGAAGATAATTGGATCATGGGGGCAGTTTCTCCCATACTATTCGCGTGGCTGTAAGGCTCAAGAGATCTGATGATTTTATAAGGGGAAATCCCTTGCATTTGATCCTCATTCTGTCTTGCCCGATGCTGTGTAAGAAGCGCCTTTCACCTTTTGCCATGATTTTGAGGCCTCCCCAGCCATGTGGAACTGTGAGTCCATTAAACCTCTTTTTCTTTATAAATCACTCAGTCTCAGGTATGTTTTTATCAGCAGCATGAAAACAGACTAATACAACACATACGTTAGATTAGCTTGCCACAGGTCAGTAATGCAACATTCTTTTTATTTCTTGCTGTTTTATTAGGGATCACAAACATACAGAGTTCATTGCCAAACGTCTAAAGACAGTTGTTCATATATTTTGTCCAATGCTCCAGTTGTTTATAGTGGGAACATAAATCTGGGTCCTATTATTCCATCAAGGCTGGATGCAAAAGTCTATTTTTCTTTTGATTTGCTAAGTTATGTCTCAGAAAGCTGCTGGTCCCAACACCTATTTTTCCCAAGATTGACCTGTGTTTCATAGCCTGCACAGGGCTTTCTACTTCACTTTTATAATTCAATTCCTTAGAGCAGGAATCTAAACAAGAACTGAGACCACATCAAGCTAGTGAAATGAGTAATAAATAAAATATTGAGGTATGCTTACAGTCAAAGAGGTATTAAATAAACATAAATATGTGCTATATGTTGATTGCCCAATAACAAAACTCTTTACAGAAGAGAGTGCTTTCCTATAGTCATGTAGTATTTTATGAGTACTCACTACGCACTTGGAGAGAAGAATTAATTAAATAAGAAATGGTTCTGGACCACTTTTGGGTGTGTAAAAGTTGGAACATCAATAAAGTCACTAAAGATAAAAACAGCCAGATTAAACAACATATTATTATGTGCCAGAAAAAGGGTAATAATATATATTGCATGCAGATAGTTATGACCTTAAGGGTCATTTGAAAATATGTTATAAATCCTCCATCTCCTCAAGGTGATTGGGATAAAGACCCTTTAGTATCTGGCAACATCTTACTTTTCCTTGCCTCTTCTTTTACCTCCCTGCCCTATCATTCATCTCCTGCCACTTAGAAGGCCCATCCTCTCCCTCTTCACCTGATCAGCACCTACACAACTTTTATGACCGAGCTCTTCTGGGAGTCTTTTCTTGGTTTGTTCAAATATCATTTGTTTCTTTCTCCTTAGTGCTTCTTCAGCAGCTAGCACTTTATCATCTTATGACTCTAAACCTGTATCACTACTGGGTTATGATGGCGGGAAAATTTTTTATTCACATATTTATTTTCAGATTATGATATTGTAGTTGATGCATTTTAGTCAGATAATAAAAGTTTAGTCAGGAAAATTAATGAATGAGGGAATTCATATAAAACAACTTATTAGAAAGACCTGGAATTTCATTTTTGGAATAAAATTAGAAGGAATTTCAGACCTGTGCATTTCTCCTAGAAATCATAGAATAAAGCATTGTCCAGGTAAACCTGCATATTTTTAGAAAGAGGTTTGTGAAACCAAAAATAAAAAATAAAGAAAAAAAGTGTGTGAAGAAAGGACTAGGGTAGGAAGCATTTCCTTCTGTCTTTTGATGTCATAGTAATTTACTTAGTTGACTTTTTTGAAGGTATCTGCTTTTCAAGGATCAATTGTGTGAAGGGATTCTTTGTGGATGACATGTAATTTTAAAAAGTTCGCCCTTGTCATAGCAGAAACAAAAGATCAAGCAGAGGAGTGCATGTGTGGGCAAATTATGAAAGAAGTTATAGTAAAGCAATTATTTTGAAATTAAAAATTTCAGGACACCAATTATACATGTCATGATTCAATAGAAGACATTCATACATTTTAATATATTAGCTTTATTTAATTATTATACATTGTACTCATAAATCATGATATCACTTTGTTCTCCATAAATATATACAGCTATAATCCATCAACTTACAATCAAATAAATATATAAATAAAGAATAAAAATACTGGCTTTTTTACAAATAAGAAACTCAGTTCCATTAAGCTTGCATATATATAATTGCAGAAATGGAACACAGCAGCACACAATTTTGCATTGAAAGCACTAGGGAATGTTGATGTTCCTTTACCATGAACTGTCATGCTTTTCACATATTGTGACATCATATCTTCTTCGAACTAGGTACAATTTTCACATAAAGTGAAGAAGCAGATGTGTTTTGTCCTGAATGAAAGCATTAGGCAGTGTTACCTCTATTCATCAAATGTGACTGGAGTTTTCTTATGGCGAGTTGGTTGGTCATAGGGCAACAGAGAAAACAGATATGAGTGAAGGAAAAAGCTAAGCTAAGGATGGGAGGCTGAGCTGTCATGAAATAGGAGTAACAAGCCCAATAACTAGCTTGCATACCCTTAAGCAAATGGCCCCCTTGGATCTTCCGTTTCTTCGTGCAAAATGTGTACAATGAGAGCCTTTTAATGCTAAGATGCAGTACAAAACATTATAATTTCTATGCATGAAAGACAAGCAATTCAGTACAATTCTCAAATATGATTGAAAGGTATCTCCTAAGGGTTGTTCATCTTTTCATAAGAGAATGCAACATAATAGGCATAAGGCGCTGGGTTGTGGGGGGATTCCAAGATAAATAAGACAGACTCTCTCTTCCTAAGAAGAAACTTCTTTCTTAAGAATAATAGCAAGCATAAGTACTCCTTTTATTCCAGGCACCCGACTACCTTACTTCACTTCATTACATCCTTACAGCAACCTGGTGCTTAAAGTGCTATCATCACAAGAATGAGGAAACAGTTGAGAAAAGCCAGTTGTGATGGCTATGGTCATGCGTTATACAACTGGCAGGCATAAGCAGCGACTCTAGACCCTGAGTGCTTCTCCATTGCAGCCTTGTCTGTTTTTTCAGATATTGGTACACGTGAAGACAGAAAGTGGTAAGTACTAAGGGTCCTCCAGCAAAATGCTCAGGAATCCATGAGAAAGGAAGGGAGACTCCTCGTTTAAACGTCGTATGAATTGGAATTAAAACACAGTCAATGGTATGCCAAAATACTCTCATGTCAGAATGGCAAGATCAAAGTAGCTGTATCAATCTGTGATGTGTCTGCCATCATGGGTCAAGGAAAAAATTTTGATCCACTAGACAGGGAGAGATAGTCCCTGGGAGAACAGAGTTGAGTGTGTAATTGACAAGAAGTTTGGGGACTTGATACAAAATCCTAGCTGTGGTGATTGGGCCTAAATCTTAGCTCTCATGGAGGAATGGTTCTAAATTTCACTTAATGAAGTGAAAGCTGTTTGACATTTTCTGGTTAGCCAGGACTGTACCTCTTTGTATTTTTTCAATGCTTTTACCTCTGGCTTAGAATGCCCTTCCTCTTTCGGGCAGTTAATGGGTAACTATTACACATTTATTTATATATTAATTTTGCCCATCCAATACAAACAGGGCTTGCTCCATGGAGTTTTCCCTAAGCTCTTTTCCTCTTCCAGATCTTCCTCCTCTAAATAACCATAATCCTTATATTAAAAATGTTATTTTAGATTTTCAGGGAAGTTGTAAGGACATTACAGAGAATCCCTGTATGCCCACTCCTCCCAAACCCTCTCCCCAGCAATCCCCTGTGAAAATTAACAGTTACATCTTTTAAAGCTTAAGTACTAAACTGTGCATGTCACAGATTTGAATTCTGAAGAAAACCTAGAAGGCAAGTCTGTGTAGCACAATAATTTTGCTGTCACTTTAAAAATCCTGCTTTAAATCACTGAGATTCAATATTCTAGTTTCTTTTCAGCTGGTAATTACCGTTAGAATTCTATCAACAACAACATTTTAGCCAACTATGCTACTGAATGCTGTGTTTTTTTTTTAAAAAAAAACAATTACAGATGGCAACCCACTTTGCAAATCTCCTCTATAAAAATAAAATAATTTTTAATATTGGTTTGCTAGTCAATCAGACAAATAATTAAAGCAATGGAGTTTAGGGTTTGTTTCTCATCTAGCAGTGGTCAATTGCACACAAGAAAACTGGCAGGAGAGACTGCAGTACTTTTCATTTTGTGAAGGTTGCCAAGTAGCGTCAATTTGTTTCCAGAATAACCGTGAAAATATTCTTCCAATTTTCAGCAGATATGGTTTTTTGCTGAAATTTTTTTTGCTTTTAATTAGGATCTTTTTAAAAAATATCTTGTCTAATTCTTTTCTTTTTAGAGATTACAGTCTTTTTAATAGAGATATCAATCTCAGTTTCTATCATAAATCAGCATATGCTGAATGGAATTGCTCAATTCTGTAGAGGATCTGATTCAGCAGGAAGAATAAAAATATGATCCACTTGTCATCTGGAATGCCATTGAAAACTTTATCATCCACATCTCTACAAGTTTTCTTCTAGAAGCTCATTGTTCCTTTAGATCCAAATTTTTTATTCAAAAGACCCAGAAAGGGAAAGTGAACAAAACAAACCGCATGAGAAAGAAGTATGTAGTAGGTATGGAGCATCTGGGTCATGCAGGAGTTGGCAAAGTTCACACATGACCGTATTTAATTATGTTTTGTTGAAAGTTGTGTGCATGCACGCATGTCATGCACGAGGACATGTGAATGCTTCAATTTCGTGCACTTATCAGTTCTCAGTCATAAAGTATTGTGGGCTTCTATGAGAATACTATTCATTGTTTACCAAAATATAGCCTAAACAGGGGTATCCAGTCTTTTGGCTTCTCTGAGCCACATTGGAAGAAGAAGGATTGTCTTGGGCCACACATAAAATATACTAATACTAACAATAGCTTATGAGCTAAAAATAATAACAATAATTGCAAAAACATCTCATAATGTTTTAAGAAAGTTTACAAAGCGTTCATGTTGGGCTGCATTTAAAGCTGTCTTGGGCCACATGAGGCCCATGGGTTGTGGGTTAGACAAGCTTCGTGGAACCATCCTTGAGGCAATATGGGTATTGTTTTAGCAAACCCATTACTGACCAATTGAACATTTCAGATTTTAACAGTAATCTTCTTTCATGAAACTAACTAACTTATTTATTTATTTGAGACAGAGTCTCACTCTGTTGCCCAGGCTGGAGTGCAGTGGCTCCATTTCTGCTTACCGAAACCTCACCCTTGTTCAAGTGATTCTCGAGCCTCAGCCTCCCGAGTAGCTGAGATTACAGGCGCCATGTAATCCCACCATGTTGCCAGATTTTCTTGGCTATCCTTAGTTCTTAACATTTTCTTACACATTTTCCATGTGATTTTTTTCAAGTCAGCTTGTCACTTTATATAATAAAAATTTGTTGATATATTGACCGAGATTACATTGAACCTATAGAAGTCAGCTTGTCCCTTTTGATTCTTTTAAATGCTATTACAATTGGCATATTAAAACATTATTTTGTTTGTAGTTGGTATATGAAAAAATTTTTGTATTTCCTTGTATCCAGCAACCTCATAAAACTTACTAATTATAATAATTTGCTTGTACATTTTTGTTTGAATTTGTACATTCACAATTGTATGATGCTTGAAGAGTGACCAATTTATTTATTTTTTTCCAATCTGAATACCTTTGTTTTCCTTGCCTTATTTAAATGACTAGGATATTTATATGGTATTAAAGAGATTTAATGTGAAAAAAAAAATGACCATGCCTGGCTAATTTTTGTGGTTTTTGTAAAGACAGGGTTTTACCATGTTGGCCAGGCTGCTCTTGAACTTCTGAGCTCAAGTGAGGTGCCCACCTTGGCCTCCCAAAGTAGTAGGATTGCAGGTATGAGCCACCATGCGTGGCCCATGAAATATTTAAATATTACTTACGTACCAGTCTACGCATCCAACTGAATAATCTTAGTGATCAAAGGTAATTGAACACTCCTTGAACAATGACCATCATTTCCCACGTGTTGGAAGTTACTGTAGATACTTCCAGCCACTTAATCTCTGTGGTGTGAGGGTTACATTTCAGATTGAGGTTTCCAGTAATAGTATAAGAAAATCTTAAATGAATACCCAAAGCATTATTTATTTTTTTAGAAGCCAAACTGAATTTGTGGAAGAAAAATAAGTCAGCATTTAATGGATGGAACAGAGAGTGGAAACATCTGACAGAACAGTAGGAAACTTTGTTCTGTTTTGAATGCCTCACCACTACTCATACCATCTGTCATGCATTTCTCATGAAATAAACAATTTTCAGAATTTTTTTGTCCAGGGAAGAGACATTTTGCATTTTATTAATTTATTTATCCTATGTAGACTTAAGGTAATGACATTTAAGAAGATAACTTTTGAAGGAGATACTTTCATCAAAACAGATAGTACTTGTTTAATTTGAAAGCCTTTCTCGAGGACATGTGATGGGTATACATAGTATAATAGATAGATTGAATGGGAAATGTCGGGGGGTGGCTTGGAAAGAGAGGAAGTGATGCCAAGAGCGAACACTAAATTTCCTGCTGTTTTTATTTCCGGAAATCAGAGTGGCTGAGAAAGGGCTGGCTGAGAGAAGGAGCTGGGGGAAGGGAAAGGAAGGCTGACTCTTCTCCAGTGGGGGTCTCCTTCATAACATTTTTGAACTGTCGCCACAATCTGGCAATATTTTTATGCCAGAGGAAAGATGACATTCTCCTCATTATTTACAGTTTTCATCCGATGTCTCGGTTGATTATAGAAGTTTCTTCCAATCATTCCATGTGTAAAAATTAGCTTTTCTTAAATAGCTATCTTAATAGGCCAGGGCATTTCCCGAAACAGTCCAGTAACACCCTTGACGTTGGACATGAGTTGCTTAGTACATTTTCAACATTCCATGTCAAAGATTTTTTTTTCTATGTAATAACTTTCATCTTCAGTTTTCAACCTCTTGCTTCTTGTAGCCTACAAATGCTATTTTTCCCATCTCGAGGAGCAGCATGTTGTGATATTAGGTTCTGAATGAAGTCTCAGCCTCAATGCAGTTCTGTGTTCTTGGGCAAGTTCCTCAACCTCCTGTTTCTTCAATCGTCTATCTGCTCCTCAGCGCTGTGGTGAAGGTTGAATGAGATAATATATTTAAAGCATCTGGTTCGTATTAGGAAATGAATGTTTACTCCCTCCCCACACTTTTTCCTCACTGTTCCCATGACTAAGTTCATCTTTCCTGCCCTGCCTTTCCTCTCTGGGTCTCTCCGCCTCCCCTGCATTTATGGCACCTCTTTGTCCTTCTCATGGATGGGGCAACATCTAACAAGACAGAGGCACTGTGGGCTGAGGTGACTCCCCCTACGTTATGCTACGCACAAAATAATCTTAAGGCTTCACAATTTCTATTTCATAAAGCAATAAAAAGCACTGGGTGTTAAACCACCAGAGCTATTCTGGGCTTTGCCCAAGGTTTCGAAATCGGATTTATCCTTTATCTACATACTTCACTGTCTTCTGAGATCCAGCCATGTTTTGTTTCTTTCTTCCTTCAAATCCCACACCCTTGTCATCTCCCATTATCCTTTTGCTTTCTATTAATATTTCCCCTCTCTTTAGACTCTCCTCAAATTGGCTATCCATTTGAAATTAACAGTGATTTCGTCTGGTTAAATACAGTCACCTTTCATCTCTAAATGTTATCTACCCGTACTGGTGTGGATGATAATTACCTGGAGTAACGCTATTCCGCTCTTCTGTGATAGCACCCATGTCTTCACACTCTCATCCCAGCCCTGCATTCCCCTACATGGCCCAGCTTCACATTAAGGTGTCTGTTTACCTAAAACATCTTTTGTAACCATTTATTTTCCCTTTTTCTGGGCACTAAAACAACTCAAACTCCACCCATTTTCCATTTTATTCACAATGACGTCTTCCTCTTGGAGCCTCCTGTAAATCCTTCTCGTCATTCTCTCCCCTCATTTACCTTATAATAGTAACTATACTTGAATATTAAAATGCCATTTCA